TAATTTATCAAAATATTATGCATAATGTAGCCTATTTTCAGGCTATGTCTATAAGTGACTATTTATGTTTCCAATTAATTCATACAATATTCATATCAAGAGTGCTTTAGAGCTCAAACTGACTCAGAATTCTACAAAGTATAAACCTACCTGTAAAACTCAATCTCAGGAACTGTGTCAGCTCCCTTAAAAAGTAAAGCAACAAAGACAGCAAGACTGCAAGCCACTCATCACAGAGCAATGATTCTCTTTCCAAGTGTCTGACTGTTGCCGTTAAACTTGCATTTTAAAGAAATGTTCACATATAGTTAAAAAAGATCAAACTCCAAGTGCAGCCAGACAAATAATACTTTTATTCAGTGAGAAGTCTCCCTCACCAGTAATAAGCATTTTTATTACCAATTAAAAAGTTGTTATTCCACTTACTGTGCCACATCGGATACAGCTGACAGTGGCGACTCCTCTGATACAAGGTCAATATCATCAGTGAAGCTGTTGGTCCATGACATTTCTTGATTATTCCCTTCTAAACGTCTTTTCACTGCACAAATAATTCAAAGAAATCATAATACATCAGGAAGACAACACATACAATCTCTTTAAGATACTGTGCAGTAGATTAAAGAAATGGTTCTAACATGAAGCATGGCTTTCTTTTTTGTCAGAATCAGTGAAGCTGATACTTATATACCCAACAAAAATAAATGTGTATATACATAGTTCAAATACACAGGTACCTCTTAAAAGAAAGGCTTGTCTTCTTGAGGACTATCTCCCTGTAAGCAGAAATTCACCATGCCCACAGTTTCAATCTGGGCACAATGATAGAAACAATCTGACTTTCATTTCCTCAATTTAAAAAAATCTGATCTGTATACTTTAATTTCTCCAAAGCCCTTCTTTAAAATTTTATTGCTATTATCACATAAACAGCAGTTTTGTTTAAAGTATTCATTTTCACTATATTCACCCATGTTCAAAAATTCTCCCACAGACTTTGGAAGAGCCTCAAGCGTTTGCAACCATCCCTGCTGAGCTGACTACATTCAAAGCTGTACTATAGCTCAGCTTGTGTTCCAAGTGTAAGAAAGCTACAAATTTCATTACAAATTAAGACGACACATGATGGCAAATGAAGGAATTCACTCACAGACTGCAAAGAACAGAAGTGCAGCTAGCCCAGTAACTGATTAAAATTGATATTTTAAAAAGCTCTAGCCTCAATACTAATTTCCTTCAGGTATAGGACTGACTTCTTCCACCATAAATGCGAAATACACGTATACCTGCCCTTCTGAGTTGAGCTGCATCAATATTCATAAGCAATTTCTGCTTTAAGGTCTTTTCAATATCTTTTCCTATATTTATTTTGCTCAAAAGCAGAGAAGTACTTCTAGCTTAAATTGCTGTAATCTGAAATAGAATTTTTTCTAATGACCACTACCAATCCTAGCAGTTTGTAAGGATGGCCCCTATCTGTTTTAATATGATGATTCTTGAAAGCTTGGCACATACAGTTATGAGCCGGCGGAGGCTAACTTGGAAAATGCATAGGAAGATGCCTATAAATTCAAGGGAAAAAAAAGATAGGTGTTTGTGTGGGGCAGTGAATCACTAAAATTATCAAACAAGTAAAAGACTAAGTAGTGTTGCTTGCACATGCTGTGATGGGCAAGAAGAAGAAAACAGCCCACACAACAGAAATGAGAAAGCTTGCCTCCTAGAAAACCAGATTGTTGAAGCCTCAAGTTAATTCTACAGCACAGCTTTGGCTGGAATACATTCAAACTAAATACTAAAAAGCATACAGAGTTTACTATTGGAAGAGCCACAGCATAAATGACAAGGAGTGAAAATTAAGTTTGTGGAATAAACTATAAAATGGCATAACTGAACACTGCTAGAGGACACAAAATTACAAAGCCATTTGAATTACATCTGCTGCATTTAATCACAATGAAACTATATTTGAGGGGAAAACCAAATCTTCCTGGCACTGGGAACATGAACTTCTGCGCTCTTCCAGCACTACTGAAACACTTTGATTGCTGTAGAGAAGCTTTATTTTGTGAGACCTGCCAGTTCTGCACTTGTTCTGATAAGACTTTTTTTTCTTTAAGGGAAGCACGTAGCCTTATTTCCAGACAAAGTCTTGAGATACATAGGTCCAATATTTGAAGGTTGCTTTGGGATGCGCACACAGATTCAGGAATAGGCTCCTTCAACCTCTAAAGAAGCAATATTGCACGTGATCACATCTACTAAACTAAACCAGGGGAGCTTTGGCTTCAACTTCAGTAAGGTTTTCCTCATAGAAGCCTAGGAGAATTTCAGAGCCAGCCAAAGGCAGAATTAAGTCACTGTGTGCATGTAAGACAAATTAAAAGGAAAACATTGTATTGCTATCAGCTCCTACTACACAGTGGACTGCTGAAATGATAAGAGAAGGACCTAGGTAACTCATCAGGTTTTGCCTTTTTATAGCACAGGATAGATACTCAAATTACTGCAACGCATTTGCCATGATAAGAATTAGGATTATATTTTATTTCTGTAATTTAAAAGGTTTGGTTCATATTGCCTTATCAAAGTTATCTCTGTCTCATCACACTGCTGTTCACAATCTGCATCCATGGGTTCTTAAAAAAAAGAAACCAAACAAACACAAAACCCTGACTGTTTACATTTGCCTTGGTAATTCCTTTTCTGAGAATTGTTTGCTACCACAACGGCTCTTTGCTCCGTAACATGATCATTATGAGAAAAGAGGGACGACAGTAGCATTCCAGTTCTGAAACAATCCCTTTCTCTTTACTCCCATTTGTGGGTGCTGTGCCTAAGCTCTGCAGAGCAGCTCTGCTGTTACTGCAAGGTGTGCCTGGAACCACTGCTTCTCTGACCATGGACCTTCTGCAGAGACATATAGAATATAAACCTGGGTTTAAGGGCCTCATCCTATGCTCAATTACCTACACAACCATGGGAAGCTTCTGTTTCCTCTTTGTATAGGGTAAAAACAAGCAAATTTTCTGTTTGGTGAGGACTTTACTATGACTATCCATGACAGTCTCATCCCACAAGTAGTACACATGCATTTCATTCCTACATAATCACATAATTTTCAAGATGCTTGTACTTTGTACAAACAATAGTCCTGTAACTTATACTCCACTGTTCATTTTATTAGTTGAATTGAAGATGTGCACTTAGGTCCATAAAACCAAGTATTTGGGTCACATCTCTAAGATTGCCTCCCTGCTTCCCCTCTTCCCTCCCATGGTCAGATCTGTGGACAGAACAATTTTTGCTAGTTTGCTAGTCTAGCAGACTAGATTTATGTCAAAAACCTGCCTCTAACTTATGCAAGTATTAAGAGAAAGAAGAGCTTCTCCTAGAAGTTCTGCTCTTAAATATCAAGTTAAAGCAGAAGCCATAGCTCTGAGGCTCATAATATATTTCAGTGGTGATATTGTAAGATTCCCTACCACCCTCAGAGCCACTTGCGTCAATTCAGAGTCAGTTTAGGTTCATGTTTTGTGAAGTATTAAGCCATCACACAAAAATACCTGTTTTATCCTTGTAATCCTAATAACAAAAGCTATTCAATACTCAATCCCTTTATAGTTTTACCACCCATAAATTCTGTGTGTTCCTGCTTTAAAATATTAACCCATTAATAATGTTTTCTGGTCCACATATCCAATCATTAATGTAAATGGTAAATGCAAGTAACAGGTTGTCTTGGGTCAGGGCCACTGCCCGTAAGATGGGGAAGGATAAGAGAAGTGGAATCTCGTGAGCTGAGATAACGACGGATTTTTAATAATACCACACGAGGAAAGAAAAAGAAAGGAGAATATGACAATAAGACAAGATATAGCATAGAATGGAAACACTGATACAATGGAAACCTCACCACCACGAGCTTCACAAAAGAGACCCCACTCCAGCTAGCTCCCCTTATATCCCGGGCATGACGTCAGCATGGTATCAACTATCCCTTTGGCTATGCCCACCTCCCAGCTTCTGTGAAAAATTAACCCTATCCCAGCTGGACCCAGGTCCTCTGTTCTAAATACTTTCTGTCCTTAAGATGAGTTGCGAGCAGTTATCTTCTTATTTGAAACACTCCTTCTGGAACCAACTCAGTTTCTGAAGTTAACTGTCACTTTTCCTGAGTAAACTTCCAAAATTCATTTAGGCAGCAATGTTCAGTCATAAATCAGTGTTCCTAAAGTCACACAAAGAGGAACAAAAATTTTTTTGGAAACTCAAGAAGCCATAAGCTTCTGAGCAATGAAGTAATTCATTATAATAATTCATGATAATGCTTTCATTTTGAGGAAATGTGGAGCATTAAAATACATTCAACACACGGCAGTGATGCTTTCCAGAAATAAAGCTCAAAGTTGTAAGGTCCAGCTACTACATGTGGTGAGTTTGTAACAGCTGCAGCTCAAGCCAGAACAACTTCCCTCTCTATATTTATTTTAATAAACTTTCCTTTTCCAAAATGACTTCATGGGATTGAATGCCTATTTTTTGGTGTTGCAGAGTACTAAGGAGAGCAGGCAAAGAAATATGAAGGAGAAAGAGAAGCCATCCTTCCTCTCCACATGCTACAACTCACAATATGAAGGAGCTGTACTTATTTGGTTATAAAACATATAATATTTTCTGAGCATGAACAGTTGGAAGCAGCAAGTTGAAAGTAGACAATAGTATCTACCACAGAACAACAAATACCAGTGCATGCCATAGACCTAGGAATCCATGAAACAGATCAACTCACTAAATGAAATGGCAAAAGGAAAGATGTTTCATATACCTCTATTGTTTCCTTCAGTGTCAGTTCCTAAAATAGTGAGAACATACAATAAATACATCAAAAATGTAACCCAAAGATAGTTTTATAATGCTGCTTAACTTTATCTAACCTTAGATTCCTTCTCTATATTACACTAACTTGTCTTTATCGTATGGGGAAAAAGTGAACTCCCATTTACAACTGCAGTAAAAAATACAATTGCACATGGTTCCTATTACCATGGTCATCCTCAAATAGGCCATGCCTACTAATACCAGGACAAAAACAGTAAGATCTTTCACTATTCTCAGATAAAGAAGGTAAAAAAAAAGAAAAAGCAGGTCTCTTCTATTGCAAATACTTCCAACTTACTGTTTTTATTAGAAGGCTTTTTTCATAGTCACCAAAAAAAACCAACACCACCAAATACAAATTTAAAGATAATTCATACCATTCCCACACATTCTACTTTACAAAGCCTGCAGAGAATTGCAGTAGTCGCTTACAAGGTACAAGGGTACCTGCAGTTGCTACTCCTAGGACTACAAACACCAAAGAACTTCAATGAAAGGAGATATTTGGCAAGTTATCTGGGAAAACACAGGCACATGGATAGAAGCAGATGGTAAATTTGAGACAGTTTAACATAAAACAGTTCCTGTCACATGAATATTTATTCCTTAAATTGTTAAGTAACAGCTTATGTAAAGACACTGCCAAATACCTGGTAACAG